TCTTTCCTGCAAAAGTATCTTCTTTACAAAAATATCTTTCCTGCAAAAGTATCTTCTTTACAAAAATATTTTTATAAAAATATCTTTCCAAAAATACCTTTTCAAAAATATTGTCTCTACAAAAATCTTCTCTACAAAACTATCTTCTCTACAAAAGTAATGATATCATCAACAAATTACGCCAAATATAACAATGGATATTTATATATGTATAACGCGTATCTTTCTTCTACCGTAACCATTCTGTAAATACATCTCATTCGGGCAATAACGTATCGACAGCACCGATGAAAAGAATAGCAACTGTTTAGAATTTAGAAACTCTGTATCTATTCAGGTGAATTTAGGCCTGTGTCCATGACGCTAGTACTTGGTCCAAGTTCTAGTTTTGAGAAATGCGTAGCCAATCAACTTGCAGCTTTTGTGGAACAACTATATTGATTGGCTACATATTTCGCGGAATTAGAACTTGGACCAAGTACTAGCATCATGGACACGCACTCGTATTTCCTTCTTCTTTTTCTAAATCGTATCGATTCTTTGGAGGGACGAATTTCGCTCTTTTTCTGTCAGCCCTCTTCATATTTTCGCCCGACACGTGTCTCTTACTTTTCCGATCCATTTTGAGCAGTTAAATTCACGTGTGCACTCGACAAACTGAAAAACACGTTGATACGCACCGTTGCTTCTCGAAAGACGGCCTATAACTGACCAACTGATTATACTAAAAAACATATACACACACAAATACATACAGTCCCTCAGCTGGCCCAAGTCACGTGGGTATGAATTTCGGCGCCCGGATGGACGAAAAAGGCGGTAGTTGTGCGCATCCCTAATGGCGCGTTGTGCGGGGAGCGTCAGTGTTCGGCGCGAATTTCGAATACTTCTAAGCCGAATAACGTTTTGGGAGCTGAGATACATATTCTTAAGGTCAAAAACTATCGATTAAAGCGAAACAAATAATCGATTTTGAATTTTTTTCACACTGTTATAACCCCTTAACGACATATAAAAAGAAACATTGAAATATGAAAAATAAATGTATTTTATTTTGAATGCAAATGTTTATAAATTTAGATAAATATTAACTGACGTATATAGCATAAATAAAATAAACGTTTTTTTTATAAAAGACCTGCATCTTCTTCCGCCTGTAAAACATCGTTCATAATTTTGTTTTGGACGATTCTTCGATTTTTATAAGGCAGTCGTCTTAAAATGTCGCCCAGTTGCACTAAAAAACCGTCAACACCGTCAAGCGGTTTGTTGGTGTCAGATAAAATTTTTAATAAATCCTTGTCAAAGTCTCCGTCAGTCGAAAGATTTCTCCGTCCTAAAACATCAAAAATATATTATTTAAACATTCTTTCAATGTTACGTCTTTCACCAATCACATAAACTAATTTAAAATTTTCAACATAAATTATTAATACAATGTACTTACGTTTAGTACCTCTGCAGCCGTTATCGGATACACTTATGTTAATACCTGATGTGCTACTACTTGTGTCGTCATTGAAAATATAGCTCGTGGAACAGGAAGCATCTTCTGTGTTCTCATCTAATAAGTAGTCATTCGCGTGCGAATCATCCTCATGGTTCATTGAAACATTACTTGTAGAACTATAAAACAAAATTATTTTATTCATAAATTATTAATAGATTTAACAACTTTTTAAATTTAATTAAAATTTTATACATACGGTCTTGTATTTGTACAATCATTTAATAATGACATTTGTTCATATATG